AGCTTAACAAACTGCTATGATATATCTATAGCTGAAAAAAATAATTAGGACTTTTGAGCGAATATTAATTTTTTAGAGCGCCGGCAATATGTGCTATTTTTCCAGTTTCGGCATGCACGCAACTTGTGTCGAGCGAACCGAGCTTTAATCAATCCTAGAAAACTTCAATTGGAATTTTTAATCAAATAAAGCTCATTTTAGTGATTGACTAGGTAAGGACTTCAAAATCCCAGCTTATGAGAAAAATCGAATTTTCAAAGTAAAATCGGTGGTCGGTTTTTACAGAGACAGCCTCTTAATGCTTTTCCCTCACTAAAATGCTCAAAAAAAGTGCTAGCATAATGTACAAAAGCCTACTGACGGTGGCAAAAATCACACTTGTTACAGTAGGTCGAATCTGAACTTTGTAGTTTGCATCTCAATGATAAGCGCAGTAGTGTAGGTCATGGCTCTTTCATAATCAATTCCAAAGATCACATCACAGTTTATTCGACCCCGTGCGAAGGCTACCTGACGAGAAGCTAACTTTTCCATCATGTAGCTTAGAAGGTGAATGGAGAAAAGAAATTTCTCACATTTCCCAGAACACCTTTCGTTTCACTGACAAGTGCAACTGCTGCTACGATAAAAATGCCTTGCTTAAGAGATGTGCTACAGAGCTGTTTAGCTTCTACTGGCTCGACTGAGGGCAAAGTGGTATTTGCAGTACAGTACTGTTTAGTTGTGGTGCTGATAAAGAAAAAGAAACACTCAACGATACTTAACGATAAAAGAAAAATTCCTGAATTTCAACAATTATCTTTGCTCAAATGCAAATGTCAGATTTTGCTCTTATTATCTGTTCAATTAAAGGAATCCTTGAATGAAAGAAATTCTTGAACAATCTACTCGCTTTCTCACTTAAGACCGGGAAATGTGCAGCAAAGGTGTATCGACACCCTCTGCTTTCCATAGTTCCCGTTTCTTAATGAGCTAAGCCATACTTAATAAGGTGGTCAGTTATTGTCAAACCTTGGTTGGTTTACCTACGAATATTCCAACATTTACTTCAGTAAAGTCCAAGACCTTTGTTAAAATCCCTCATGAAAACACTGGGTAATTACATATAAGATTA